TTAATCCATACCCAAGATGACATCAAAATTTACCATATGAAGAAATAGAATACGCTAGTCTCAAGACTCCCAATAGTAATCATACACGAACGATGGACACGATCTACAATAATAGAATCTCCCACAAGTGTAGACAGATACACAGTAGCACTCAAGGAATCACGAGGTACAACCAGACATGAAGCAAAACAGGATGACACATAGGAATAAGTAGAGCCCAGATCAAATAGAACTGAAACATCTCTATGGCAAACTGGAATACCTGTGATAACAGCGTCTGATGACTCAGCCTTAGGCCTAGCTGGAAAAGCATAAAATCGGGGCGGGGTCCCTCCACTCTGAACTACGTCTCTGGGACAGGCCCTAGCTGGTTGGACTCCACCTCTAACGGCCTGGCGTCTACCTCTAATGGCCTGACCCCTGCCTCTAGCTGGCTGAGCAGGCGATGGGGCAACCGGTGATGTAACCATGGCACGAGAACACTGCTGCTGTGAGCTGCCCAGTGCCCGAGGGCAAAATTTAGCAATGTGCTTCGGACCACCACAAGTATAACAGGACCTCGGCTACTGTGACTGCTGACCCTGAAACTGACCTTGTTGACCTGAGTAACCACTCTGAAAACTCTGGAGCGAAGGTGTGCACTAATAAGAGCTGGTGGTGCATTGTAGGCTGGCTAGTCGGGATGAGACATATATGGGCCGCGACCACTTGAAGCACTGTGAGATGCATGGAGCGCTGAGTGAAATGGCTTGGGAGGATGGCCCTACCAAAAGTACCCCTGACTCCAACGAGGCGCCAGTGAAACCACCGAAATGATGAGGCCTCTTATCAGACCCCTGCCCTCTCTCCTGTGCAAGAACCATCTCGATCCGCCTAGCAACATTAGCAGCCGCCTGAAAGGAAATCTCACCCCCGGTCTCCTTGGCCATCTGTAGCCTGATAGGGTGAGTGAGTCTGTCAATAGACCTCCTTACCCTCTCTCTCTCTCTCTCTCTCTCTCTCTCTTTCTCTCTCTCTCTCTCAGTAGGAAGCAAAAAAAAGAGCATGACGGGCTAGATTCACAAAATGGGTCTTGTATTGAGTAACAGTCATATTGCCTTGTTAGAAACGCTCAAACTGCCTGATGTAATCTTCTCTCAGTGATAGGGAGGAACTTCTCTAGGAATAGCTAAGAGAACTGGTCCCAAGTAAGAGCAGGCGACCCAGCTGTTTTGGTCGGCACATAATCCTTCCACCACCTCTCGGCGAAACCCGTCATCTGAAACACAGCAAAATCGACCCCATTGATCTCAACTATCTCCATTTTCTGCAGCACCTCATGGCAGTGGTCGAGATAATCCTGTGGGTCCTCAGAAGGTGCACCAATGAAGTGAACTGGGAAGAGCTTTGTGAACTTGTCCAATCTCAATGAGCCCTCAGAAGACATGGCGGGCCTATCACCGGCCTGTGCTGCAACAACCGGCTGAACTGCCCCAGCTGGCGAGACTATTGGAGTCTGATACTGGGGAGCCATCTGCTCCGGAGTGTGAGTGGCGGGAGTCTGTGCTCCTCCCCCAACTTGAGAGACGACTGGTGCCACCGGAAATGTACCGGCCTGGGCCAGACTCTCCATAAGGCCCACCAAACAGACTAGAGCATCCTGAAGTACTGGGTGGCGATGAACCCTTCCGGGACCTGAGCTGGTCTATTAAGTACTGCCTAAGCTGGAACCTCCTTATCAAAATCCACCTGAGGCTCCACTCTCGGTGATGTTGCTCGAGTTCAAGGTTGAGCTCTGCCTCTGCCTCTGGCACGACCTCGGCCTCGACCTCTACCTCTCGTAGGAGCTGCCACTGGGGGCTCTGGCTGCTGTCCAGCTGAAGATGCAATACGTGTTCTCGCCATCTGCATGAGAACAAGAATAGCAGAGTTCAATCAGCAATGATAGAATAAAATCGCACGACAGAGAAGAATATAAGTGAAATTGTTCCTAAACTCCATAGCCTCTGGAAGATAAGTACAGACGTCTCCATACCGATCCTCTAGACTCTACTAAGCCTGCTCGTGACTCGTGAGACCTAGGCAACCTAGTGCTCTAATACCAACTTGTCACGAACCGGAATTCCCACCTACGGGATCGTAATGGCGCCTAACATTGCACTCGCTAGGCAAGCCAACGTTAGAGTAAATCTTAAGCCATTTCAACAGTTCAAGAATTCAAAACTCATTCAAGCTGAAGTGAAACTGAAATGAAGTGCTAAGTAGCATAATATCAAAAATATCTAAGTACAAACCCCGGACTTGGAGTCACAAGTACACAGTGTCTAGAAGTACTACAAATAAAGTTTGAAATATGAACAATTGTCTCGAATGAAATGAACGGTACTAAGGAAAGGGGAAGGGGACTTCAAGGTCTGCGGACGCTAGTAGATCTACCTTGAGTCTCCAATTATGCCAATTCAAGCCGATGCACCTCACGTAGAACTGGGACCGGTACCAAAATCTGCACAAAAAGTGCATAGTGTAGTATGAGTACAACCGACCCAGTGTACTCCGTAAGTGTCGAGCTTAACCTCGGCGAGGTAGCGACGAGACTAAGATAGGACATCCACGTAATTAAACCTCTACAAACGAAAATATACGTACAACATAATAACAGATAAAGTTTTAACATGTACTATTGGGAGGGAACATGCAAAAGGGGGGTACAAGATTCGGTAACTACAACAAGAAATGACAACATGAATCAGTCAATAAACTTTCAACCAATAAACGGGATAAACATAATAAATAATGACTACATGGCAACACCCATCGTGCTTTTACTCTCAACCTCACAATAAACAATAATAATGGCACAACATCACCCTTCGTGCTTTTACTCTCAATCTCTCCATAAGATGATAAAACAGCACGACATCACCCTTCGTGCTTTTACTCTCAATTTCATCATGAAACGATAAATACGGCACGGCATCACCCTTCGTGCTTTAACTCTCTTCCTCACTATGTATGAATCAATAAATGCAACAATAATCGGCGCAACATCACCCTTCGTGCTTTAGCATTCTCCCTTACCATGTAACAATGAATATATAACAATTGGGAGATAGAACAAGCAAGAATAAACCTTACTTCAACATCGGTTCCATAATACCGAACCTCAACTTCCAATAATGCTCAATTATCACACAAACAGTTCATAGATGCGGAAAGAACGATCAATTATGTAATAAACTAGCCTAAGCATGGATATCATAATCAAGGAAGGAAATAAATTACAAGAAACACGTCTCACCCTCATACTTTAACCCAACCGCAACGCATAAGTACTCGTCACCTCACATATACGTTGCATCCAACATTTTAACATGTAGCAAGTACGCAAACAAGTCTTAATCCATCAAGTTAAGGTTAACTATGACACTTACCTCGCTCCAAAATCGACTCAATGCTCAACCACGGCTTTGCCTTTCGAACAAGCCTCAGAACCATTCAAATCTAGCAAATGATTAACCAAACGATTTAAAATAAGCCTTAGAAACTACCCATGAATGAAAAAGGTTCAATTAGGTTATTATTGAAAAAGTCAACAAAAGTCAACTCCCGAGCCCGCTTGGTCCAAACCCAAAATTCGGACCAAAACCCGATTACCCATTTACCGTCGAGCCCTGTTACGTAATTTAACCGACCTCAATTCTCATTTTACAAAGATCCCTAATTCTACCCAAATCCCCAATTTCTACATGAAAATTCTAGATTTTAGGCTGAAATCTTATGAAATGTAATGGGTAATCGAAAGATAGTATGTTAGAATCACTTGCCAATGAATTGGGGAAGAAGAGTTCTTGAAAAAATCGTCTCTAGGGTTTCTAGGTTTGAAAATTTAAAAGAATGAGAAATATCCCGTCTAACTCAGCTTTTGACCAGGCGTAGATGTCGCAATTGGAACCTGGGGTTCGCAATTGCGAACCCCGCAGATGCGAGATTTCCTTCGCAAATGCGAGATTTCTTTCACAAATGCGAAGTCTTCAAATTTTTGCTACCATAGCATTTGCGATGAATTTTTCGCAAATGCGAACTGGGCCTCACCGCAAATGCGACCTAATTGATCGCAAATGCGAACAAGCTTTCCCCCAGTCCCCTTCACAAATGCGATCTAATTGATGGCAAATGCGGACCTGCCTCTTTCGCAATTGCGGCAGAGTACTCGCAAATGCGAGAAACTAACCCCCCAACCCCTACTCGCAAATGCGAGATCTGCAATAGACACCAGAAAACAAAAGCACCAGCTATGATTCTAAGTCCAAGATCCTTCCGTAGCCTATCCGAAACTCACCCGAGACCTCGACTCCAAACCAAAAATGCACACAAGTCCAAAAACCTCATACGAACTCGCTCGCGCGACCAATATACCAAAATAATACCTAAAACTATGAATGGAACACCAAATCAAACGAAAATTTCAATGAAACTTAAGAATTTCTATTTTAACAACCGGGCGTCCGAATCACGTCAAACCAACTCCGCTTTGTACCAAATTTTGAAGACAAGTCATAAATATAGTAATGAACCTATACCAAGTTCCGGAACCAAAATACGGACCTGGTAGCAAAGTCAAACTTTGGTCAAATCTTTAAATTCTTTAAACCTTTAAACTTCAAATTTTGGTCAAAATGAGATAACTTGAGTTAGGGACCTCCGAATTCGATTCCGGACATACGTCCAAGTCCAAAATCACGATATGGATCCACCGGGATCGTCAAAATACGGATCCGATTCCGTTTGCTTAAATCGTTGAACGAAGTCAACTCAAATGGACTTTTAAAGCACATATTCACATTTTTCTCCAATTTTTCACATAAAAACCTCCGGGAAGAAGACACGGACTGCGCATGCAAATCGAGGAAGGCATAAAGAAGCTTTTGGAGGCTTCGAAACACAGAATTAAGGTTTAAAACTCTAGGTGACCTATCGAGTCATTACAGAGATTAATAAAACTCTTCATAGAAGGAGAATGAAACCAGAAAGAACTCAGACTATTTCCATAAACATATCTTTATCTCGTTCTTAATTACAAGAATAATTACAAAATTAAGCCAAAAAAGTGCAAAAACTGAACCCGTCAAAATGCTCTGTAGTCGAGGGAAATGAAAGGTTAGAAAGCATAACAACCCAAAAGGGTGAAAGGTACAGAAAACAAAAAATTTAGAGGGTTAATTATATTTTTACTTTAATATAAATAGAAATCAAACTTAAGAGGCAGTGAGTTATATGAAGAAAAACTAGGTTGTAAATTGTGATAAGTTAATGCCGCTCATGTTTTGTCACTCTTCTTCTTTTTCTTCCTCTTCATCCTCTGCATCCCAAAGAAAGTGCGCATAGGAGGCCAATACATAACTGCATCATTAAAAAACATGTCTAAAGTAAGTTTCATTTTATGACTTCAACTTTTGTGCATTTGCAGTCTATAATTTTGATGATCGTAATTTTCTAAAGTTATTTTGATAATCTAAAAATACAATAGTTAACCTATTACTTTATCGGCCTATTTTATGTGACACACTTTTCTAGTTAGTTTGTTCAATTAAAAATAATTTAACTACTTTTCATTTTACTTTAGTGAGATGATTCTTTTTAAACTTTTTTGGGGGGGTAAGGGACGAAAGATTTGGAAGAAAATGACAAGGAGAGGAATCGAACCCTCATCAACAAGGTGAAAGCTTAGCAGCAAACCAACCAAGCTACTAAGGTTTTCCATTTGGTCTAGAATTTTATTTTTATGTTTCACCTGTTTGGTACCCGTATTGAGCTCTGTTAATCCTGATTCGCCGAGTATAATAAATTGAAATTTATTTTTATTATTTCATGGGATATAGGAATTCTCACCAATCGTCAGGGGAAGCTTTAACAGCTTTCTCAAAGTAGTTCTGAGCACGGGGTGCATCTTTATGGGTTCTCCAAATTAAATCAGCATAGAGTGAAAGTATATTTCCATCACTTGGATTTGCCAATATTGCTCTCCCACAATATTCTTCTGCTTTTACCAAATTCCCACGCACCTGTTCAATTTTCAATTTACAAAATGATCAACAACTTCTAGAAATATAGTGAACATCTCTACAACTTCAATGCTTTTGTTTTGCAACTAAAATAGTACTACTCCCTTCGGTCGGGTTAATTTCACAAATAGTCATATAACTATGAAGTTTTTTCACTAAAGTCATATAACTTTGTTTTCTCACAATATAACTATGACTTCTAAAATTTACTAAAGTCATATAACTTTGTTTTTCACACAAAAATCACATAACTATGACTTTTTTTCACTAAAATCATATAACTTTGTCTTTTCACACAAAAATCATATAACTATAATTTTTTTTACCAAAATCATATAATTATATTTTCTCACACAAAAATCATAAAACTTTTACTAACTCACAAAAATTATAGTGATCGGAAAATATAATTTTTCGCTAGTATTTTGTTATTTTGCAGATTTTTATTTTCTTATTTTCAACCTAATAAATAATAATCCAATTAAAATAGAATGACTCAACCCGATCACTGTGATTTTTGTGAGTTAGTAAAAGTTTTATGATTTTTGTGTGAGAAAATATAATTATATGATATTGGTAAAAAAAAATCATAGTTATATGATTTTTGTGTGAAAAGACAAAGTTATATGACTTTAGTGAAAAAAAGTCATAGTTATATGATTTTTGTGTGAAAAACAAAGTTATATGACTTTTGAGAAAAAAAGTCATAGTTATATGACTTTTGTGTGAGAAAACAAAGTTATATGACTTTAAGTGAAAAAACGTCATAGTTATATGACCATTTGTGAAATTAACCCCCCTCTGGTCCACAATAAGTGAGCAATTTGCTTTGGGCACACCCATTAAGAAAATATTAAATTCTAGATAAAAGTAGTTAGTATGACTAAACTACCCTTAATTAAATATTGCAACATAGATAATGTGAGGAGTAAAAGGCTTTTAGGGATATGTACATGAGGGTAATTTTGGAAAATAAATTGAATTGTTTATTGATTATATAAATGGACACTTAATTTGGACCAAAATAAATTGGTCACTAGTTGTGAACCAGAGGGAGTAGTAATTAATGTCTTTTAAATTATCAGAAAAACTCTCACTAAAATAAAACCAATATTCACAAAAAGGAACTTCTGTGGTCAAGTTACTCTGAACGTATTTCACCAAAAAGAACAAAAAGATTTAAGAGAATTTGCAGTTCACTACTCCCTCTATCTCATATTATCTGTCGTATTTCTCTTTTATACGTCCCTTAAGAAATATTAATTCGGAAAAGGATTAGGCTATTCTACCCTTATTTATGTCTTAAGATATAATCTCTCTTCGTTGAGTATTTATTCTATTTATGTGTTATCTCCATCTTCAAGAACAATTATTACTAAGGTAAAAATGAAAAAAATAATTAATTTTGTCTTGAACTTCTAAAATGACGAATAATTTGAGACAACTATATTTTTAGTAACCATGGCTATTAATATGAGAAGAAGGGAGTACTTAAACTTGCTAAAAACATACTTCTCTCTCTATTTAATTTTATGTGACACTTTTTCTTTTTTTAATTAGGTTCCGAAAAAAATACCTTTCTATATTTGGATATAATTAATTTTACCTTTAAGCTAAGATTCTCATACTACGTACATTTAATAATATTTTTTTAATAGATATAGAATATTAATTATGATATGTTTAAAACCACAATTGAGGATATGTCAAAAGTCTTTTACTTAATATTTAATTCTTAAATTTTGTGTCTAGTCAAATACCGCCGAAATTAAGGTGTATCATTTTAACCGGCACACCTATGGTAAAAATCCAACAAAAAAAATTACTACTATGTATTAGTACCTCTTTCAAGAATCTTGCATAATTTCCGAGAAGCAGTGAATTCCCAGGATTAGCTTGAATCATTTTTGTGTAATACAAATCAGTACTATCACTCCCATGATTTGATGAATCCCAGAGCTCAGAACCATCATCACCATTTCCACCATCATAATTACCACCTCCGCCACCACATATCTTTCCACCACCAGCTCCTCCGCCTCCGCTTCCGTCAACCACCAGCTCCACCGCCCTCATGTGTTTCTCGTCCTCAATTTCGCACCCTTCTGCCGTTCTCAACCCATAACTCGAAAACAATGTCAATTTATCGGTCACCTCTATCTGTTGAAGACATAATAAAGTCAATTTTAAAATATGTTGTTTAACAATTTAAGTTTTTAGATGATTTGACATAGTATCACAGTGTAGACATGCACATAAAGGCGGATCCAGAATTTGAAAGCAGCAGAGATGTCGATCACTATCGAATAAAAATTTGAGCAAATGCTGGAGCGACACTAAAATTCAAGTTTTGTTCCTCCAAGTCGACCAATGTAGTTGTCTAAGCTTTCAGTCTTAAGGTGCCAACTAAAATATATCTAATATTAATATATATATATATATATATATATATATATATATATATATATATATATTTTATCGAGAGC